TGAGATTACTCCCTGATGCAGCTCACCTGAGCAGGCTTGGCTCAGGAGGCTATAAATCAGACCTGCAAGGCTTTCTCAGTCTCTTCCCCTGGCCTGCTGACTGAACTGTTGGTTTTTGTTTGTGTTCTGGGTTTTACATTTATACATATACACCTCACCCTTCACTCACAGACATTGCAGACATACCGATTTACTGATAGACATATTAAACTGTATTGATTGTTTTGGTATTTACTCAATTAAATTGTGTTAACAATTCACAGACTGTGTGGTCTCCCTCTTTGTCACACTCTTTTGAGCCAGGTTGTGACATTACGTACTCACGTGCTTTTTCGTTGGCTGGAAGGGGGATTGCAGGAAAGACTGTAATCCAGATCTGGTCTGGTAGGAGCTTGTCATACTCCTCTATCATCTTCAGTAACCAGCACTAAAACATTCAATATAAACATGGAATTAATATGCTGTATTAAATAGATAATTAAATAGATAAGAATAAAAATAAAAAAAACTTTTTCTAAAATGCTTTAATCAGATGGATTTCAGGAATATCACTGAATCACTTTGAAATACAAAAAATACATTAATTTATGGATTAAATTAGATATTTATATTCATATTTATTTATATTGGTCATTTTGTATTCTCTGCTGTTTTTCCAAAAGGCAAACTATCCAATAGAGTATCTTCATTAGGACTGAAGGAGCTAAAAAAAACAAGGAAGGCTGGAGGAATTCTTCACAATCTGGCAAAGACAAACATTTTTCTTAATAGCAGCTTGGAACTGATCTTTAAAGCATTAGAAAAATAATTAATTAACATTTATAAAGCTATTAGTTACAACTTACAAACACTGTGTAACGAGACTTATCACAAAGTGGCACCGTGATCTTTTATCCCAAAGGAAGCTGCTCTACACATAGACCTTCAAAACAAACTAAAGCTAATGCAAAATATGGAGCCAGGTAGGTGTTGTATTTATTTATCATTTATCATTACGTTACCACATTCATTACATTTCTCCTTGGCCTTTCTACACTATACAGTTAAGCTGTTTTTTGAGTGCTGTCTAATATGCAAACACTATGTGTCCTTCTGATGCAGTGCAAAATATAAGTTATCAGACCATGGGATTTCTGATCTAAATGAGCCTCTTAGTTTTAAAGTTGTTTTGTTTTGAAGATGCATGGGTTCCTGTTGCAATATGTTCATGGTACTGTTTAACTTTATGGTTCAATTTGCACAAATTAAGTCATTGGAGAGCATGAATCAGAAAATCTTAAATGTCATCTTGGAATGTGTAGTCACTTGGATTGCTGTTATAAGTGTGAATCATAATGAACTTAATAGCCATTACTCACTTCAACTTCATGTCACTCCTCCTCTTCAACCCGGTTTTGT